TGTCGTCCATGCAATCAAGTGGAGCTCAAGATCTTCCTAGCTATGTGAGTATATATAACAAAAACTGGAAGTCTATATTCAATTAAAGCACTGGTTTGAAGATGCATGGAAGTTAAGTGGTAATTAATTAATGTTGCAGGCTTGGAAACATTGGAGGGAGGACAGAGCATTAGAGATGGTGGATCAAAGTCTTGGAGGATTGTATTCGAGAAATGAAGTGATCCAATGTATCCGTGTTGGGCTGTTGTGTGTCCAAGAAGAGGTGGACGATAGGCCAACAATGGCGAATGTTATGCTGATGCTCAATAGTCATTCTGCTACATGGCGATCACCTAATCCACCTGCGTATTTCAATGGTGGAAGGGAGATGATTTTGGCCGGAGAAGAGGGTGATCTGTCAGAAAGCAAGTCGCTGCCATTGTCTGTGAATGAAGCTTCCATTTCAGAGTTGGATCCAAGATAGTTAGGCAGAATTAATAATAATTCTTGAAAACCAAATCAATCTCACCAGCACTTTGTCTCTTAATTGGGGTGGCCCGATGCAAACGGAGATTAGTCTGAATATGATATAGGCTTAAAAGGTGTCTCTTACAGTTAGGTGCTAAGAATGACAAAAAAAAAAAAAATTATTCTTGAAAGATATGGTACACCGAAATCAGCACTAATGTCATTGTCAATGTCAAAGTCTTCCTAATATTGGTAATGCAGCCCTTCAAACTTTCTAAATAAGCAAGTGGGATTATATAATCATTTACGTGAGGAAGTCTTGTGTCTTTCGGTCGACAAAAAGAATCTTTAGACTTGAGGTTCATGCATGGACTACGTACAATATAAAATGGATAATATGTCTCTAGCTACTTGTTATATGTTACTCTATTGTTCTTTTAACTTATTTCCTTGACAATCTATTGGTCTCCGTGAGGATTTTGAATTGATTGCGTTTTTGGTTAATACTACGCCATACTCTTCTAGATGTCTTTTGATTTCGTTTGTTTTTGACTAAAATGGAATTAACTCTTTCCATAATCACACACGAGTATGTAGGAATTAAAAAACCTAGTAATTTGGATACTTAAAAATCAATTTTGAAAATAATTTTAAGACCAATTTGTGATATGATATATTATTATATGTTGCTATAATATACCTCACAATATGATGATCATATGATTTGGTATTGCTTGTTGATGAGCCTCATCACCGAAGGTAGCTCGATCAGCTCTGATTTGGCTCTGTGAAAACACAGTTGCTTACACTCCTAACACCATCGAAAATAGTTAGTCTATAGACCAATTTTGATTTATTTGATCATTATTAGCTGTTTGACTTGATTAAAAAATCAATATAAGTGTAGGATTAATTAACTTTTTGTAACTCCAAAATGCTAAAATTTTAAAAGTTGTTCAAAGTAACTTTTTTAATTAGCTTTTTGAGAAAAATAAATTATACCAAATATCTATCAGCTAATAGCTAATTTACCAAACACCTTACTACAATCAGCTAATATTATCAATTAATTATATCCTCTAATTAACTCAATCAGCTAACAGCTAACCGTCATTTACCAAATGGGTCGTAATTGTATAAAGCAGACCTTCAAATTTTCTAAGTTAGTGGGATGGTGGGACCTATCATTTAATTGGTTTCAAACTACTCCGCTTGAGTCATTATTTGTTTCAGTCTGATTTTTTTTTTATTGAGTTTAATTTGGGATTAAGATTGGAGTCCTGATGTATGATATTATTAGCTTTGGACCTTCAGTAGCAAAGCTAAGATTTGTGGACATTCACTCATCATGAGTCTTTTTTTTCTTTTTTTTCTTTTTTTCTTTTTTAATGGGAAGAAAATCTGCAACCATTATTCAATAGTGTGCAATGACTAAATTCTGTCTTGTGCTCATAGCGGACAATGAATCACAAAACTAGTCTAAATTGTCCATAATTGACAACCTCAAACAAAGAAGATCAATAGACCTGTTGGGTGGAGGTCGATGTAGAGCTAAGTCTAGCAATTGGTGGGTACAAAATTGTTAACCATAAATCGGTGAAAGGCCAAGTCCGGCATTCTAACTCTGGAAAATGTGGTAGCTATATATAATAAGAAAATAAAGTTACACTCTCATTATTAGCTAAGAGTTCCTAAATGGTATTTGAGTCAGGTTACCAAGTCAACAAATGATTCTATTTTTCCTTATTGATTGGTTTAATGTGGGATTTGAGTTTTCAACCCAACAAGAATTGATAACAAATAACTATGCATCTTCCATTTAGATTCTTTGTGTTAGGCAACATCCTTTGTTTCTGCTCGCTGATCAGCCAATCCACCGGCACAACTTTCCGGCACCTGGGATATTACTGTCAGAACACCTCCACTTATACTCCAAACAGCACTTACCGATCCATCCTTAACACTCTCCTCTCCACTCTCTCTTCCAACGCCGACCACGAAAATGGTTTCTACAACACCACCGTCGGTGCCCGCCGCGGGGCTGACGCCTCCACCGTGTACGGCCTGTTCATGTGCCGGGGTGATGTCTCAACCAGCGACTGCAGAAGCTGTGTGAGCAATGCTAGCACAACCATATTGCGGTTATGCACTTATGCCCCAAAGAAAAGACCGCAATAGTTTGGTATGATTACTGTAGGTGTCACTGGAGTTTCAGCTGAAGAGTCCACGCAATATGATTTTGTTACTGTTCAAGTTATTACAAATAATTTCTCCCTTGAAAATAAAATCAGTCAAGGCGGATATGGTTCTGTATACAAGGTAAAGCCTTTAATTTGGCCGGATCTGCAACAGTAATATGCTCATTTTAATCCATTTTAATTGTTTGTTGATTACTAATATAATACTTAGGGATGCTTCCAAATGGAAAAGAAGTAGCATTAAAAAGGCTTTCGACTTTCGAGAACCTCAAGACAAGGAGCCCAAGAGTTCAAGAGTGAAGTTGAAGTAGTTGCCAAGCTTCAACACAGAAATTTAGTTAAGCTGTTGGGATTTTGCTCCTAAGGAAAAGAAAAGATACTCATATATGAATTTGTGCCCAACAAAAGTCTTGACTACTTTTTATTTAGTTAGTTTCCAACATCAAAATTTTTTTAGTCTTCCTTTATACTGCACCATGAATAGTCATCCCTAAGCAAAGTAATTTGGATATATGTTTTGAAATATTCAGATGCTGATAAACGATGTCTATTGGACTGGTCAAGACGCTACAAGATTATAAGAGGAATAGCTCGAGGATTACTTTATCTTCACGAAGACTCTCGTCTTAAAATCATATATCGTGATATCAAAACAAGCAATATACTGTTAGATGGAAATATGGATCCCAAAATAGCCGATTTTGGCTTGGCAAGAATTTTTTAGATTGATCAAACTGAAGAAAGTACAAACAGAATGGTAGGAATATAGTAAGTTATGCTTCTTAATTACATGAAGTTATCTGCATTCTTTGTTGACAATAACATATATTTACATTAGGATGTTGCATTGATGCAAAATTTGAAACACCACTTTCAATCACATATTTATATTAGGTGTTGCACTGATGTATATAATATTGTTATGTAGTGGTTAAATGCCTCCAGAGTACGCAATGCATGGAGAGTTTTCTATGAAGTTTGACGTTTTCAGTTTAGACGTTATACTCTTGGAGGTTATTACTGAAAAGAAAAATCGCATCTTATGCCAATCAAATAGATCAGTGAACCTTCTTGGCTATGTGAGTAAAAAACTACTTTCTATATGTTAACTTTGTTAAACTGTAGTAGCATTATATATTTTTGTAAAATCCTTCATAGTATATTGCAACCAACACTTATGAACATCAAAGTTGTAACGTTGTAGGCTCGGGAACAATGGAGGGATGGCACACCATTGGAAATACTAGATCCAGTCCTCGCAGAGTCCTACAAAGTGAACGAAGTCATCCAATTTATTCACATTGGTTTATTATGCGTTCAAGACGTTGCAATTGAAAGACCTACAATGGCAGAGGTAATGTTGATGCTTAGTAGTTATTCTTTTAATAGTTGGCCACCACCTCGTGAACCTGCATTTTACCATGGTGGAGGTGATGAGAGGATGCCAAGAGAGCCGGAGTTGGAACAACCTATGACGATAAATGAAGTGTCAATTTCTGAACTCTATCCGAGATAAACTTCAAGAATGAAGTTTAAATATGTAGAGTTGTTGACAAAAGAGACAGATTAAGTGCAGATTGCATATAATTTTTTTATGCTTACTTTCATAGCCGCCTTACATGTTAACAAATTTTTATGAGACTAATAATTATGAAGGATTGACAAATAGGCCAAACTTGAAATCTTTTGAATTACTTTAATTAGTATTACTCTAATATTACTAGTGTTTATGTATGATGTCTCACAAAGTGTAATTTTTGTTTAGCCTTCTCCACATTATCCTTTTGTTGGGTAATCAGAGCAGAGTTCGTCTAGCCATTGATTTAGTAATCAAAAATTTCAAGTTAGATTCTTGATATAAGTCTTAATTTGAATTAGTCAATCTATAAAGATTTTAATTTGATTTATGTCTTTATGGTATCCAACTTTTCCCTAAATAAAGGACATCCAAGATTTGTTGTCAATGTCAAAGTCATCCCAAGATGAGGATTAATTGCCTATGCAGCCTTCAAACTTTGCAAGCTAATGGGACCTACCATTTACTAAGACCGATTCCCGTTGAAAAACACGGTTTTATATTGGACCACAAACGTTACAGCTGGATGTTTATGCAAGTTAGTAGTCCACCCCGAGCTTCCAAGCTATCTACAACCTTGCCTTTTGAATTTTCCTTGGTAGATGACAACCTCGTGGTTTAATAATAGGTTATCAATAAACCCGGCTTAGTTCAATGATTCAGTAAACAGTATTTGAGAGAAGAAATAAAAGATTCGAATACTACCCTGTAAAAATTATATTTAAAGTAGACAGATCCCTTATATGTATTGACTCACAGTAATTTACATTTTGTAAATGTTTTGTCAAGTCCAAGTGTGAAAAATCTTGAGGTTGGGGATTAACATTTTAGGAGAAGAATATGTTACGAATAAAACCAAATGAACCATTTAGCTAGCAGAGACTAATAATTATGCATCGTCCATTAGGCTACATCCTATGTTTCTTCTCGCTGATCAGCCTGTCCACCGGGACAACCTTCCAAAATCTGGGGAATTACTGTTGGAACACCCCCACTTATACGCCAAATATTACCTATCAGAGTCAGAATAACAGCTCCACCGTCGCCTCCGGCGACGGCGCTACCGTGTACGAGCTGTTCACGTGCGATAATGCCTCCGCCGGCAGCTGCGGGGGGTGTGTCAGCGTCGTTAACACAACCCAATTGGGGCCGTGCCCCAAAGAAAAGACTAATACTATTTGGTATGATTACTGCATCTTGCGTTACTCGAATGGGAGTTCCGACCAGTTGGTCAGGTTAACGTCGCAGAATGGGTCTCGGGCCGGTGATATTGTGTCGTTCCGGCAGGTTGTCGGGAACACGTTGGAACAGGTGACTACTCAGGTGACCGGCGATGGCGCCGGTGAGAGATTTGCGACTCAGGAAGCTAAAACTAACTCGCCTGCGTCTAATCCAAGGGTCTATACTCTTGGGCTGTGCACGCCGGATCTTTCCGACAACAACGATTGTAAGACGTGCCTAACAAATGCTATTCAAGAACGGATTTCATCGTTTGGGGGAAATAAAAGCAGCATCACCCCAATCTGTAACGTGAAGTATGAGTTGTTCTCTTCCTACAATCGCACAGCCCCCTCTGCTCCTCCGCCACCTCCGCCGCCTCCGCCGCCTCCGCCGCCTCCGCCACCTCCGCCACCCAATACTACCACCACTCCTGTTACAACTACAGGTACAACACTCACATCTGATCCTTTAAGGTTGTCGTGTAGTTGTCTTCTTGTTAAGATTAAGTACTTTATCACTATGCTAAAACTGGCAAATTATTCGGTCAATCCGGATCCACCTTGTAAGGTGGACCTGAGTCTAAAAATATACTATCGAGAAAATTGTAATTTATTTATTTCATAATATGTCAATTATTAATGTAATTTCTAAATTTTAGTAGTGTAAATGTTACTTCTCAATTTTTACAACGGTACATATAGTGTTCTCCCCTAATGTAAATGTTGTCCTTCATTTTCCAAAACGGTACATATACTGCCTCTCTCGTACAGTACGAGAGGGGAAATGTACCGTTTCAAAATTGAGAGGCAACATTTACACCACTAATAATTGGCATATTATAGAGAGGGCATTAGTTACAATTTTCTAGTCACTAATTACTGGACTTAGCCCTCCACGTCTCTCGTCCAATACTTAGACTAATGCAAAATTTTGAGTGTGGGGTATCTCTGTTGATGCAGAAAACAGGGGAAGTTCTTCTTCAAAAGTGATTATTGCCATTGTAGTTCCGATCACTGGGATTATACTCCTCACTGCAATCTTATGCTTTGTAAGAATTAGAAATGCGAAGAAACAACATACTAGATTACAGAAAACAGGTAAAGAACAAGATTGATTGGGATCTAATGTTCTCCAAACTTGTTTGTGTTACAATGGAGTTTTGTAACCTCCAACTTTCCTGTAGATATGGATGGAGTTTCAGCTGAAGAGTCCTCACAATATGATCTTGCTATGGTTAAAGCTATTACAAATGATTTCTCCCTTAAATGTAAAATTGGGCAAGGTGGATATGGTTCTGTATACAAGGTAAAGTCTTTGGCTCGATCTATAGCATCAAATTATATATGCTCGTTTAAGTCTTTTATAATGATTTGTTGAATATTGATACTTAGGGAATGCTTCCCAACGGACAAGAAGTAGCAATAAAAAGACTTTCAAAAACTTCAAGACAAGGAGCTCAAGAGTTCAAGAATGAGGTTGAAGTAGTTTTCAAGCTTCAACACAGAAATTTAGTTAAGCTATTGGGATTTTGCTCCGAAGGAGAAGAAAAGATACTCATCTATGAGTTTGTGCCAAACAAAAGTCTCGACTACTTTTTATTTGGTTAGTTTCATAATTCAAAACTTTTATTAGTATTCCTTTATATTCATCATGATTCACCAATAGAGTAATTTGGATATATATTTTGAAATATTCAGATGTTGACAAACAATATCTATTGGATTGGTCAAGACGTTACAAGATTATAAGAGGAATAGCACGAGGACTACTCTACCTTCATGAAGATTCTCGTCTTAAAATCATACATCGTGATCTCAAAGCAGGCAATATACTCTTAGATGCAAATATGGATCCCAAAATAGCAGATTTTGGCTTGGCAAGAATTGTAGAAGTTGATCAAATTGAAGGAAATACAAACAGAATTGTGGGAACATAGTAAGTTATATATGCTTCTTAATCATTTGAAGTTATCTGCATTATTTGTTGACAATAGCATATATATTTACATTTAGATGTGCCCAATTATCATTGCAAAAATGTAATTATTACTAAAATTTGAAACACCATTTTCAACCATATATATACTAATGTATTTTGCATTGATGTGTATATTGTTTTTGTAGTGGTTACATGTCTCCCGAATACGCAATGCACGGAGAGTTTTCTGTGAAGTCTGATGTTTTCAGTTTAGGCGTCATACTTTTAGAGATTATTACTGGAAAGAAAAACCGCAACATCTCCAAAGGAAATAGAACAGTGGACCTTCTTGGCTATGTGAGTAGAAACTAACTATACTTCCATATATTAAATACATCTATTTTTCTATATGCCAAGTTCATTACATTTTGTTGTGAACCCACCCATCATAGTATATTGCAGCTAGCCAACACTTATGAACATCAAAGTTGTAATTAATGTTGCAGGCTTGGGAATATTGGAGGGATGATACACCATTGGAAATACTAGATCCGGTTCTCGGGGAGTCCTATAATGTGAACGAAGTCATCCAATGTATTCACATTAGTTTGTTATGTGTTCAAGAAGTTGCAGCTGAAAGACCTACAATGGCCGAGGTAATGTTGATGCTGAGTAGTTATTCTTCTAATAGATGGTCGGCACCTCGTGAACCTGCATTTTATCATGGTGGAAGAGAGGAAATTCCGAAAGAACAACCGGAATCAGAACAATCTGTGAGCATAAATGAAGTGACAATTTCTCAACTTCATCCGAGATAAGGGAGAGTATGGTGGAAGTGTGAAGTTTAAATATGCATAACTGCACAAAATGAGATAGGTTAAGTGTAGATTATATTGCATATAATTTTTTAAAGGCTTATTTTCAAAGTACTACATTGATAAATTTTGAGACTAATAATTATGATGAAAGATACTCCAGAATTGAATTGAATTGAAATCTTTTTGAATTACTTCAATTTGAAGTTCGAATCTTAATTTCTTCTCCTAAATACGGCATATTGAATCTTTGAGTTAAGTCCGTGGGCAAACTGTACCATTGAACTACATAACCTATTGAGCCGAATGGTATTATCTCAAGATTTATAACTGCGCTTGTGTATCCCGAACTGTAACTTTTCTTTGCCTTTTTTACTCGGGTGCTCCACCATTGTTGTTTAACAAAAAGCTCGATGAAGTTGTAGTTTAAAATAGTCAACATTAATTAAGTTAAAAAATTAAGTCTTACAAATAGATATTCTTTATAAATAAGTAAGACTATGTATTCTTTTGAGAATAAATATGAAATTTGTAATGATTTGCATTATACAAATGTTATATATGACTATATGAGTTATGAATTTTTTCAAGTGAAGTGAAAATGGTGAAGTTGAAATAATTTTAAATGTTAAAGTTATTATATGTTGAACTCACCTTGTTGATATTTATGTGGAAAAATTATTCTTTAACAAATGCTAGTTTGAATATATTTTTTGCAAATGAGATTAATTTCTTTCAAGAATATTATGCGAAACTTGTGATGACTATGTTGTTCAACTTGAAGTAGCATGTAAACATCATTATTTTTGTGGCTTACTGCTAATGAGGTAACCAAGTTTGTTGAAATATATAATTAAGTGTAGAGTTACTATAAAATTTCACAAAGCAAATTTGCAAAACTCAGTCCACAAAAGAGCCAATGTTGAGCACCAAAGACCAATATGGGTAAGAGATCAAATACTTTTGAGAAAAGTAGTTTTTGGGGTAATTAATTAGCTTCTTATATTTCTTCTTTATAAGTCTCATCCGAGAATAACCATAAAAGAAAATGTTTAATGTTAAGCCTGAAAATCTCAAGAGAATTATTTGTGAGTAAATAAAGTACTCATCAAAGTGTACATAAGTTTGATCGAGATGATCAACTTACTTTAATAGAGAATGCTAATTATGAGGTTAGTCGTTGAATTATTGATGGAATGACTTAAAAGTCAAGAAGTGGTGAATTCATGGTGGATCCCACTTGTGTGGTCAAACAAAACCATGAAAAGAGTCACAAAGTACGTAGTACACTTATTAATCATTCATGTGATGTATGTACTTGTGAGGTTGAGCTACAGCTCTTAGTAAATTTATAATCTTACGAGACGGGTGGTCCTATTGAGAAAAACTTACAGCACGTTTGGTTCACAGAATGAATTTTGAGGTAATAGGAATGCTATTCCATAAGGAATGGAATAGGCAAGGAATAGAATAGGAATTGTATTCTATTGTTTGGTTCGCGGAAGGAATAGACTTTAGGAATTATATTACAGTGTTTGGTTGATTTAAGGAATAGAAATGAAATATGCTTTAAAAGACATAAATACCCTTATAAAAATATGTGATGGTGGTGGTGGTGGTGGTGGCGGCGGTGGTGGTGGTGGTGGTGGTGGTGGCGGTGGTGCTGCTGGGTGGTTGTTCTGGTGGCGGTGCCGGTGGTGGTATTGGCGGTGGTGGCGGTGGCAGTGGTGTGGGTGACAGCAGTGGTGGTGACGGTGACGGTTGTGGCAGTGGTGGTGGGGGCGGCGACGGTTGTGGCGGTGGTGGTGGTGGTGGTGGCGGTGGTGCTGCTGGGTGGTGTTTCTGGTAGCGGTGGTGGTGGCAGCGGCGGCGATGGTGGTGGCGATGGTGGTGGTAGTGGTGGTGGTGGTGGCGGTGGCGGTAGTGGTGGTGCTGGGGTGGTAGTGGTGGTGGTGGCGGTGGCGGTGGCAGTTGTGGGGGCGACAGTGGTGGTGGTGATGGTGACGGTTGACGATGATGGTTGTGGCAGTGGTGGTGGGGGCGGTGGCGGTGGTGCTGCTAGGTGGTGGTTCTGGTGGCGGTGGTGGTTCTGGTGGCGGTGGTGGTGGTGGCGGCGGCGACGATGGTGGTGGCGGTGGTGGTGATGGTGGTGGTGGCAGTGGTAGTGGTGGTGGTGGCAATGGCAGTGGTGGGGGCGGTGACGGTTGTGGCGATGGTGGTGGTGGCGGCGGCAGCGATGGTGGTGGCGGCGACGACAGTGGTGAAATAGGATAAATTTATATATATGATAATAAAATTAGGTTAAAGAAAGGGGTAAAAAAGGAAATAGATTCTAAAATCTATTCCTGAGCGTTCAGTAATAGGCTAATACCAGGGGGGGCCCTAGTAATAGCTATTACCTTATTTGAGGTAATAGGCTATTACCAGGAATATTATTCCTGGTAATAGAAATGGTTACCAAACAACGGAATAGGCCTATTACTGGGAATGCTATGCCATTCCCGGCCTATTCCGTGAACCAAACGGGCCATTAATGAATTCACCACTTAAAAGTTGGGAGGGTGAGCATAAAATGTTCTTAACGATTTCATACTCTAATTTTGGTAGTCTATATTAAGATAGACTTAATGAGATCACCAACATGAGTGAAAAGGGTAAGCCGCATTTAATGAAAGATAATGGGCTATCTTTCTAAAGCATTTATGAGCAACTCGAAGTTCAGTTGGGCTAAATACATATGTAATTTTTCGTGGAACTTACATAAGATCTAATGTGTGATGCGTGTCATTTGGGTTTAAACCTATAATCGAAGAGTTCAAAATTCGTTCACTAATTACATCGGAGGATACCATTGCATATATCACTACGTGCCAATTCAAGATTCGTTCAATAACACTTAAGAGTCAAACCTTTATATTAGCTACCCTAGAGAATAGCCATTGTGTACATAGGTTAGCTAGTAAGATAATTGTAAACTTTTTATATTAAATTACTCCGTATAAGATTTTTTTTAAATGCAACAAGCCAACAAAGAAGAAAATAAATTACATAACTCTTGATTTAACAACTTTAATTAAATCAACAAAAAGAAGATTTCAAAACCTGACCAGGGCAAGTTAATGCCATTGTGTGGGGAGGAGAGAACTAGAAATCCCCAGAATGAGGTGCACAAAAGGATGTGTGGCTGCTGGGATTCGAGCCCAGGTCTCCACGGCCACAACGTGAAATTCTTACCACTAAACTACAACCACAAGATGTAAACAATCATCGATAAATATTCCTTCATCCATGCTTAAGATAACTATAAGTTTGACTTAGTTCCAAATTTAGTCATCTAACTATTACAAACTACTAAATTTAGTCTTGGATTGTTGAATCCTTTCCAATTTAATCCACTGTAAATTTTTCCCTATTAACATTGAGGGTGAAATTATAGTTGCTATGATAAGAAAATTAGGGTTTTGTTTGTTCCTACGTGTTAGAAACAATTGCCGCGATGAAAATGGTGGATTACGATTGTAGATTTAAGATCTAAGAACTTAAATTGTGAATGAGTGCTAGTTGGAGAACTAAATCCGAAATTAACTCTTACGTTGTGTTTGATTCAAAAAATAAAAATAAAGGGAATAAAATATAATTCAAACAAGAACAGAATAAGATCAAAAAAATATATATATGAATACTATTCTACTGAATTTATTACATGTTCATCAGAAAGTATTACATTGCTACAAAAATATTACTTTCTTCTTTTTAAAAAATTACATATTTACTGAAAAATATTACATTTTTATTTAAAACTATTACTTTAAAAAAAAAATTATATGTTCTCATTAAAAATTATTACTTTTTTTTCCTCTTAAAAGTATTATTTTTAATTAAAAATATTACATTTTTACTAAAAATATATTAAATTTTCCCTGAAAAGTATTATTTTTTATTTGGAAAGTATTATGTTATTATTGAAAAGCATTATATGTTTGTTAATAAGGCTTTGTTAATTGGCACCCTTAGCTGAAAAGCTAACTAAAAGTTGAATGCTAAAAAGCTATACCTAGTAGCTAATAAGCTTTTTTTTTCTTTTTTTGAATGCTACTAGCTCTATTACATTGTAGTATCTGTTCATATACTTTCTCAACCTATTGAAACACAAAGAGCTAATAACACCTCCACTGAGGCTCGAACTCACAACCTTCCAAGTGGAAGTCCAACCCGGATACCATTGGACCACATAGTCCTGGTTAGTAGCTAATAAGCTAATTAATTGAAATTAAAATATTTGGTAAAAATAATTATTGAATTAGCTATAATAAGTATAAAAAGACATAAAAGAATAAACTAATATATTAGAATTTTGATTAACGAAAGATAGATGATGCCATTTTTATAATTTTATTAATTAATAAAGACAAAAAAAAAGGAAAAAAATAAATTAAAAGTCATGAGCTCATTTTGAAACACTACATCAAGTAACATTTCAAAATAATCTATTATTTTAAATTTCATGTTTTACCAAACAGATCTTATAACTTATTTATAGTTTAAAATAAATTGTAAGCTCTAAAATAAACTCTATCAAAGCCTAAATATTATATCTTAACGGAAAGGTATTAATTTTCTTTGAAAATTGTTTTTTTTTTTTTCTCTTGAAATGCACTTTAATTTGTATCAATCTTTTATTGAAAAGTATTTTATTTTTACTAAAGAATACTAATTATTTTTGTTGATAAGCACGTATGTATTACATTTTCACCAAAAAAATAAATTATATTTTCCATTGAAAGTAATAAATTTTTGTTAGAAAGTACGGAGTAGTATTAAATTTTCATTGTAATAAAGTAACATTTTTCACCTTAAATTTTTTTTTTTTTTTCTAGAAGTGAATTACATATTTGTTTAAAAGTATTACATTGTTTAAAATTGAGTACCACACAGACATTATTGTTTATGATATTTCAAACCGATTATTACATGCAAATAGGCCAATGAGTGATGACCGACTGATCGGAGTGAGTGATGACCGACTGATCGGCTCTAAGCATATCCTCTAGTTCCCATGCAAATAGGACAATCTTGTACTCACTTAGCGTTTGTAAGATTGCCGCATTGATCTCTTTAGCTAATCTCGTTCCTAGCTAGCATAACCTTTATTTCCAGTCGAGAGGTTTCTAGGGCTACTACCTCCTCTAACTATGCTACAGGTTCTGGTCGTTCTCTAGATTCCTCTAACTTGGCTTGCTCAGTAATATAATGGCATGGAATTGTAAATCCCGTTCCACCATCTGGCGATACGTCAGGATATAACAAGACCTAGCTAAATGTCAATCGCTTCTAGCAACCCCTACTCTTTCTAGCGTCCGAATCTTGTCGCATAAGGATCACATTATAGGTGGAGTTCAATCTGAAAACCACAATTTCCATGTCTAATTTTCGTACTCTGGGGTACTGTGCCCTATCTAAACAAGTAAGCTAACACATCCTTCAGCTTCAACATTGTCACCGGTGAACCCAGCTAGAGGGGTCCTAACCGGTTGGAGCTGATCTCTTACTAGCCCTAGCGTGTTGAAGGTGTCAATGTATATGATGTTCACACTACTTCCTTTATCCACGAATACCCCTCGGGCGACGGTGCCATTAATGTCTATCGCTATTAAAATGGCATCTTGGTGTGGTACCGCGCCTATGGGGTGGTCCTCATCAATAAAAGTTATCGGATTCCTCAACTTTTCTTTGGTATGGCTGGGTATTGTACAGCTCCTATATATAGCTCTTTTTTTTTCTTTTTTCTTTTTTTCTTTATAAAGTCTAATTTATTTTTACCTATTTTTGTTATTTATTATAAATGTACTGTATAATAATAATAATAATAATAATAATAATAATAATAATAATAATAATAATAATAATAATAATAATAATAATAATATTATTATTATTATTATTATTATTATTATTAGAATACATTTATAATACATAACTGCTCTTTAATTACCTTTATTACTCAAGTTTTCTATTATTATTGTTTTAAGCGTTTGAGGAAATTTCTCAAGATATTTGTTTAGTGGATAAAAAATTTCATTGAAGACTTGCTTTGGATTGAGCCCATGGTTGACGAAGGGTGTTTCATCTGCTTGATTGCATGCATCACATGAACTGCTACTTCACAGAGATATGAACTGAAAAGTAAATATATAGCAAAGAGACAATGCAAGGCAGGAGTTGTACACCAAAATGAACATTAAAATGTATCAAAAGTCAAAGTCTTCCAAAGATGGGCCAACATGTCAGTTTGAACTCTTCTTCGTATTATGTCTTCGTTTTCTCCACTTATTTAGCTCTGTACGCAATGTTTTGTGAATTGTGACAAGCAATGTGGACATAATTATTACCTCATTTATTTCCCTTAGCTTCAATAATTACTCTCATATGAAGTACTCCGTATTATTTACCCACACTAGCAAATTAAAGATCCACGACCATGTAGTTCAAAAGTTAGCTGAACAAAAAATAAAAATAAAAATCTGGAGCTACCCCACCTATTTAATCGACAATTGGCTTGATAATCACAATCTGACTCCTATCCTTATGGGAGTTGTTTATTAATCTTTTCAATTTAAATCAGTTAAATAGTGATAAACTAGATTAATTTACAGTTAGTCCTTTGTTAGCTAGGACATAAGATGAGATTTACACATAATATACCTTCGTGTAGATTTTTTTTTTTTTTTTTTTTTAAATAGTTAGTTGAACGTACATGGCAAAAGTACATACAAGCTTGATTTACTGTTGCAATTAATTAACAAATTTTGTAAGCCAAAAAATATCAATTCAATCAATTTTTTTTTTTTTTTTTTTTAATTTCCATCACCTTATATACACATTGTAGTCTTATTACAACACCACTAAATTATAATTCTAATTCAACTATGTTTCATTGGACAATATACACTCAAATATATGAAACTATTATTCAATTCCATTTTATATACAGTGTAATTTCATTTCAACAAAACTAAAGTATCATTTCAATACAACTACGCATTTTTATTTGACAATATACACTCAATATATGAGACATGTTATTCAGTTTCATTTTATACATACTGCAGTTTCATTTCAACCCCAATAAAATATCATTTTAATTTAATTACAGTTTCATTTTTTATAATAATAACACAATATGCGAGACAAGTTATTCAATTTCATTTTAGATACACTATAGTTTCATTTTGTTCTGAACGCACCAAAAATACGAGATTTGTTAAAACTTAACGGCTACCGTTTCTTTACTTAAAGGAACGGTGCTGTTTCCGGAGCATAGATCATGGTCCACCGTATAACGACCGTAATATATTGTGTTAATAAATTATGTGTCCTTCAATTTATTTACGGGTACATAATTTATTAACTAAAGATACATAATATGTTAATTACAAACACATAATTTTCAAAAAATAATAACATATGTCATTTTATACTTGAATGAAATTTTTATATAATAATTTAATAAATTAAATAGTCTGTTGGAATTTGGATTGTCAAATTTGGCAAATTATGTTGTGAGCACGTGCTTACCATGCACATGGTGCACACAAATCTATATCCATAATTTTTATACTGTAGATCCATAATTTTCTAGACTCTCGGTGAGCTAAAATTATGAATCTAAAGTATAAATTTTAGCTCACTGAGAGTCTCGAAATTATGAATCTACAGTATAGAAATTATTGATATAGATCCGTGGTTAAAAATTATGAATCTAAAGTATAAATTTTAGCTCACCGAAAATCTAAAAATTATGTATATACAGTATAGAAATTATGGATACACAATATAAAAATTATGGATATAAATTTATGCACACCATGTAAGGTGAGCACGTGCTCACAGCATAACAATTGGTCAAATTTGTTCTTCCGCGTAAGATTGTCCGCTTTCACTCCTGTCATCATCAATGCATATTTTTCCATAACGTTACTTCGCAGCCAGTTCGTTTGTTGAATACTCCGTAATAAAGAAGTATAAAACACAAGAAATTAAAACCTGGGAAACAACAATGAGGATAAGAATGAAAATGGGCAATGACGGCTAAATTATTCAGATTGTTCGTTTGGTAATCATAAAATTTTAAGTGGGTAATGATCTAGTGGCGTTCTTGTGAGCGGATTAGCTATGGACAAACTAAATTAATTTACCTCATTATGATCATTTGTTAGTAATTAGAGATTTAGAGTCCTAAGGTGGTGTTTATCTAATGCATGGCAAATTATATCCGCTGGAAATAAAATTTATGCTAGGAACGAAATTAGCTAAAGAGATCAATGCGGCAGTCTTACAAACGCTAAGGGGCCGTTTGGTTCAGGTCATCTTAGATTACCTAGGTAATTTAAGTCTGATAATGTTATATTACATTGTTTGGTTCAAGTTATGAGATTATCTGGTAATGTTATATTACCTGAAAGCTTATGTGACGGTAATGTTTCAAGATAATGTGATTACCCCCATTTTCTTAGGTAATCTTAGATTATCTTGAATTATTCCAACTTTGCCCTTGTTAACTAATAATAATAATAATAATAATAATAATAATAATAATAATAATATGTTTATATATATATATATATATATATATATATATATATATATTGAGGACATTATAGTAAATTGATCCATATAACATAAAATATAACCTTTAACTAAACAAAGTAATATTATATTACACAATCCTAACCAACACACATCAAGTTATCTTATATTCTCAAAATCTCACATTACCTTCCTAAAGGTAATCCTATTACCTGGATAATCCAAGATTCCGTGAACCAAACACCTAAGTGAGTACAAGGTCGTCCACACTTTCATTCACATTTATCATAGTCACTTAGACAACTAAGATCCATATCGATCAACCAATTACTAACATGTACTACATTCATTAATATATTTCTATAATTAGTCTAATGTCCACTACCAAAACATCCTCATTCGTTAAGTTTTTTTTGTTGGTTTTTAGGTTGCTAAGTAGGAGAAAAGAGAGGGGAAATGTGAGAAAGGAAAAGGAAAAAAAAATTGACAACTAAAAAATTAAAATAAAATAAGCCGCCGGCGCGTGGTGTGCACATGCCTGGCTGGATGCTTATGGTGCGCCTCACGCGCACAAAAGGCAATTTTTTCTTTTCTTTCAAAATCTGGGGATGCTCTCAATTACGAAATTGAGTACCTACCACACATGCATTATTTTGTTTGAATATTTCAAACCGATTATTAACTACTCAAACACGTTTTATTGAAATTCCTTGCCCTGTCCAGAGTCACTTTTTCCTAGAGATATTACCTTTCAATTTATATATGTTCCAAATCTCCTTTATATGTGGGTGTTCTCCTGAACACTACCATTCAAAAATAATAAGAATCATGCATCCTCTTCCTCCTCCACTCAGATGCTTTCGGCTGGGCTACACCCTCTGCATTTTCTTGCTCATCACCCTATTCATCGGAGCTACCTCCCAATTATTATCATTAGTACCTCCCAGTTTTGCCTGTTCCGACACAACTTATACTCCTAACAGCACATTTCAAGCCAATCTTAAATCCCTTCTCAACATCCTTTCAACCAATAGCACCCACGAAAATGGTTTCTACAATTACTCCGCCGGTGGGCGCGACAACTCTGAGGACACCGCGTACGGCCTGTTCATGTGCCGGGGTGATGTCTCACCCGAAGATTGCGGGGCGTGTGTAAGAAATGCTGCTGTCATAGAGATATTTCGGGTATGCCCCAACCAAAAGACTGCTGTTGTCTGGTTCGATTTCTGTATGTTGCGTTACTCCAACAGTTCTATGTTCGGGAGAGCCGACCAGCAGCCTGGGAGGATTGTATATTTGACAAAGAACGATTCTCAGCCAGATAGGTTCATGGAGGTTGTCGGAAACACGTTGAATGAGGTGGCCACTCGAGCGGCCGCCGGTCGATCCGGCAAGAAATTTGCGACTCTAGAAGCTAACTACACTGCAGCTGAGAGACTCTACAGTCTTGGGCAGTGCACGCCTGATCTTTCCGATTTGGATTGTGAGAGTTGCCTGAGAGCTGCAATCGGACAACTGCCCAAATGTTGTTATTCATCACCGGGTGTAACTATTGTCCTCCCAAGCTGTTATGTTAGGTATGCGGTGAATAATCCCTTCTACACTAGCACAGCCGCCCCTGCGCCACTACCGGCCGCCGGTCCTCTCACACCTGCTACCGGTGAAGGTATAGTAAAACTTCTCTATTGTTATACCATGCATTGTGAGCCCTGGTCAAAAACTTATATGTCTTTCAATTAACATATTTTTTAACATCATTTTGTACACCTAAAAAAATGAAAGTATATGACATGATAATAACTACAAACACATAAATTGTTAATTACAGAAACAAAATATATTAGTTGCAAACATATAATGAGATGTTTGTTAACATGTATGTGTTTTATCTACCATGTACTTTCAATTGTTTACAAATACAGAAACAATTAATTATAGAAATAGAATGTGTAAATGTGTAATGCAATCATTATTCCATGGACCTTGACCCACACAAATATGTGAATTATGAATAAAAAATATATTTTTAATTAATATATTAAACGTAAATTATTTGTAAAGTACATTATATATGTACAAAAGTATATTATTTTAAATTATATTTTTTGAGTACTAAATATATATTATTTATATATTATCGAATAATATATTTTCAATATAATATTAAAAATGTACATTTATTTTATGTTTTACAAAAAATTTGTTGTTATAATACATATGGACAAAAAAATATTTTTATAAATTAAAAGATTGAATTCAAGTTATTTACTAGTCTAACTCATAACCTTATAAATTTATACTTTTCTCTCAAATTTTTTTTTTTTAGACTCTGGTAACAACTACAGGTAAAACACTCACATCTGATCCTTTGTTGTCATAGAGTTGTCTTCTACTCTTCTTGTTAAGATTTAGCGCATTATCACTGGTCTAAAAATTTTCTTATATCATCACATTTTTAAGAAACATGACGTTGAACTTGAGCCTTCAATTAATAGATTTAGGCTCTGTTTGGCAAACATAGCTGGAAAGCTATAAGCTAGGAGCCAGGGACGGAGCCAGAAATTCGATTGAGGGGGGGCGAAGAAGTAGTACGGATTCAGAAATTTTTTCCAGTAAAAGCGAAACATTAAAACAAAAGAGATAATTTAAAAAAAAAAAAAATTACCTAAGATTTCTTTATATAATCATCACTTAAAAAATATAGTTGTAAATATTGTTGGATATGTGCGAAAAATAAAACACATCAAAACTTTATAAAAATATTCATAACATAATATGAAACATAATTAATTTGATAAAATAATTTGAATAGAAAACACATATTAAATATTTTCTTTATATAATCATCACTTAAAAAATATAGTTGTAAATATTGTTGGATATGTGCGAAAAATAAAACACATCAAAACTTTATAAAAATATTCATAACATAATATGAAACATAATTAATTTGATAAAATAATTTGAATAGAAAACACATATTAAATATTAAAAAAGTGGCCATAGGGGAAGGACTCAAAAATATGTTAATGTAAAGATTTGAACCCATGACCTTTCCCATTAACAAACACATACCTTACCAATTACTCTAACTCCTTACTTGTTAAAATTTACTAATTTGTTTATACTAATACTAACACCTATACTATATATACATATATACATACAAATATTATATATGGGGTGGGGGTGGGGTGAGGGGGGGCAGCTGCTCCCCCTCTACCTCCGTCCCTGCTAGGAGCTGAAAGCTGAAAAGTTATAAGCTCGGAGCTGAAAACTGGAGAGTTGTTAAGCTAGTTGTTATGATTGAAAGTGTTTGGTAAAATTAGTTTTTTGATAAGCTAATAAATGTAAAAAGACTAAAAAGAACATCTTCATAAAATTTAAATTAGTTTGTTTACATATTAAAATTTAACATTTTGTCTTTAAAAAAAATTAACATTTGAAATAAAACTATTAGCATAATCATGATCTAGCATCTCATAATGAAGTAGCAATATTGTTGCAAATCTCATAATAATAAGAGTAAATACCCAAAATGGTCCCTCGACTATAGCTAAATTCACAAATTGGTCCTCAACTTTCAATTTCACCCAATTAAGTCATTAACTTTGTAGTTTTAACACAATTTGGTCCTCTGTCTATTTGACCGTTTGTTGACTGTGATTTTTGAGGATATATATGTAATTTCATGGTTCATCGTCGGTTTTTTAAGGTTCCGGTTGTATTTCCAGACCGCACTGTTACATTTGAATCCACTGTAGAAAGCAATCTACCAAACCCGGTCACCTTCTTCATCATCCCTTTGGATTCAATGTAGTTGAATTCGTACTAGAGCGAAGAAGACGACGTGTTTCCGAACCGGTGCAACGTCATCCTGGAGGCCTCCACGTGCTTCGACGAGAGCTGAAGGTTCTTCTGGAGATCGTCGATACGGTCAACAAACGGTCAATTAGATGGAGGACCAAATTGTGTTAAAACTACAAAGTTAAGGACTTAATTGGGTGAAATTAAAAGTTGAGGACCAATTTGTGAATTTAGCTATAGTCGAGGGACCATTTTGGCTATTTACTCTAATAATAATAATAATAATAATAATAATAATAATAATAATAATAATAATAATAATAATATTTGCGGTGAAAGGTGCGTATACAAGAGAAGAGAAAAGGGTTTTAATTGGGAAGTGTAAATCATGTCATTTCTTTAAAATAATAAAGATAAATATGGAAAAAAAAGTTAGGAAACTATGAGCTTATTTTGAAACGCTACCTTAGGTAGCGTTCCAAAATAAGGTCTTATTTTGGAAACATTAACAAACAGAGCTTAGATAGCGTTTTAAAATAAGATCTTATTTTAAGCTAGGAGCTTATTTTGGAAACATTAACAAATAGAGCTTATAGCTTATTAGTAACATTAACAAACAGAGTTTATAGCTTATTAGTAACTTACTTATAGCTTATTAGTCAAACAGAGCCTTAACCCTACACGGATCTCTCTGCCCAACACTTACACTGATGCAAAATTTTGAATGTGGGGTATCTCTGTTATGCAGAAAACAGGGGAAGTTCTTCTTCAAAAGTGATTATTGCCATTGTACTTCCGATCACTGGGATTGTACTCGTCACTGCAATCTTCTGCTTTGTAAGAAGTAGAAATGCGAAGAAACGACATACTAGATTACAGAAAACAGGTAAAGAACAAGACTGATTGGGATCTAATGTTCTCTAAACTTGTTTGTGTTACAATGAAGTTTTGTAACCTCAAACTTTCCTGTAGATATGAATGGAGTTTCAGCTGAAGAGTCCTCACAATATGATCTTGCTATGGTTAAAGCTATTACAAATGATTTCTCCCTTAAATGTAAAATTGGACAAGGTGGATATGGTTCTGTATACAAGGTAAAGTCTTTGGCTCGTTCTACAACACCAAAGTATATATGCTCATTTAAGTCTTTTATAATAATTTGTTGAATACTTAGGGGATGCTTCCCAACCGACAAGAAGTAGCGGTAAAAAGGCTTTCGAAAAGTTCAAGACAAGGAGCTCAAGAGTTCAAGAATGAGGTTGAGGTAGTTGTCAAGCTTCAACACAAAAATTTAGTTAGGCTATTGGGATTTTGCTCCGAAGGAGAAGAAAAGATACTCATATATGAGTTTGTGCCAAACAAAAGTCTTGACTACTTTTTATTTGGTTAGTTTCATAATTCAAAAGTCAAAACTTTTATTAGTATTCCTTTATATTCATCACGATTCACTAGTAGAGTAATTTGGATATATATTTTGAAATATTCAGATGTTGACAAACAATATCTACTGGACTGGTCAAGACGTTACAAGATTATACGAGGAATAGCACGAGGACTACTCTACCTTCATGAAGATTCTCGTCTTAAAATCATACATCGTGATCTCAAAGCAGCTAATATACTCTTAGATGCAAATATGGATCCCAAAATAGCTGATTTTGGCTTGGCAAGAATTGTTGAAGTTGATCAAATTGAAGGAAATACAAACAAAATTGTAGGAACATAGTAAGTTATCCACTTATGCTTTTAACTTTTTAATCATTAGAAGTTATCTGCATTATTTGTTGACAATAGCATATATTTACATTTAGATGTGCCCAATTATCATTGCAAAAAAATGTAATTATTACTAAAATTTGAAACACCATTTTCAACCATATATATACTAATGTATTTTGCATTGATGTGTATATTATTTTGTAGTGGTTATATGTTTCCTGAATACGCAATGCACGGAGAGTTTTCTGTGAAGTCTGATGTTTTCAGTTTAGGCGTTATACTTTTAGAGATTATTACTGGAAAGAAAAACCGCAACATCTCCAAAGGAAATAGAACAGTGGACCTTCTTGGCTATGTGAGTAGAAAATATACTTCCATATATTAAATACATCTATTTTTCTATATGCCAAGTTCAATACATTTTGTTGTGAACCCACCCATCATAGTATATTGCAGCCAACACTTATGAACATCAAAGTTGTAATTAATGTTGCAGGCTTGGGAATATTGGAGGGATGATACACCATTGGAAATACTAGATCCGATTCTCACAGAGTCGTATAATGTGAATGAAGTCATCCAATGTATTCACATTAGTTTGTTATGTGTTCAAGAAGTTGCGGTTGAAAGACCTACAATGGCAGAGGTGATGTTGATGCTGAGTAGTTATTCTTCTAATAGATGGTCAGCACCTCGTGAACCTGCATTTTATCATGGTGGAAGAGAGGAAATTCCGAAAGAACAATCGGAATCAGAACAATCTGTGAGCATAAATGAAGTGACAATTTCTCAACTTCATCCGAGATAAGGGAGAGTGTGGTGGAAGTGTATGTGAAGTTTAAACATGCATAACTGCAGAAAATGAGATAGGTTAAGTGTAGATTATATTGCATATAATTAATTTTTTAAAGGCATATTTTCAAAGTCCTACATTGATAAATCTTGAGACTAATAATTATGATGAAAGATACTCCAGAATTGAATTGAAATCTTTTGAATTACTTCAATTGGCAGTACCCAAATATTATTAGTTGTGTCGGTGTATCACACAATGGAGGTGTTTGGTAAATAGTTGTTAGCTGATTGAGTTAGTATGTTTGACTAGTTGATAGTATTAACTAATTGTAGAAAAATGTTTGGTAAATTAGCTCTTAGTTAATAGTTGATTATATGCAAAATGACTTTCTCAAAATGTTGATCGAAAAAGTTATTTTGAGCAGTTTTTTTTAATTTCAACATTTTAGAACAATAAACTGTTACAAAAAGTTAAGTAATCAAATGGTATTGTCTCAAGATTTATAACTGCACTTGTGTATCCCAAACTGCAGCTTTTCTTTGCCTTTGGCCCATTGTTACTCGGTTAAGTACTCCACCATTGTTTAACAAAAAGCTCGAGGAAGTTGTAGTTAATTGTCAACAGTAAATTAAAAATCTAAGTCTTGCAAATAGATATTGCTTAAGTAGTGTAATAATAATGTTGATTTAAATTATTATTTTTATAAATAAGTGGGGACTATATATTCTTTTGAGAATAAATATGAAATTTGTACTGATTTGCATTATACAAATGTTATATATGATTATATGAGTTATGAATTTTTTCAAGTGAAGAAAAAATTGTAAAGTTGAAACAACTTTAAATGTTAAAGCTATTATATGTTGAACTGACCTTGTTGATATTTATGTGGAAAAATTATTCTTTAACAAATGCCGGATTGAATATATTCATTGCATATGAGATTAATTTCTTTCAAGAATATTATGCGAAACTTGTGTCTATGTTGTTCAACTTGAAGTAGCATGCAAATAACTTTAAAGGGAAACCTTAGTGGTTTGGAGTAACCAAGTTTGTTGAAACATATTATGAAAAGGTGTACAAATAGGTCATTGAAATATTTGGGTGAACATCAATTGAGCCACCGAACTCGAATAAGCTCCAAATTGATCCATGAACCTGCAATAAAAATGCAATTAGCATTTTTAGCAGGTTGGTAATGATTAAGATGTCATGTGTATTTTTTATTTTTTATTTTATTATTATTATCTTACTAAGCATTTGATCCCAAAAAAAAAAAAAATAAATAAATAAAATAAAGTTAAACTATTAAGCTATTATTAGTATTTCCAGAATCATCCACATGATCTTTTCTATATAATTTATAGACTATTACATAAAGAATGTCCTTTTTTGTTCTCCCTACGTAAATTAGGGTTTCAAGGTTTCTCTTCGGCCTTTTGCTAGGGTTTCGGTTTTTCTTGGGTTTTCTCCGGCGAATCTCCGCTGCTTGTTTGCATTCTGCTTCGCTTCTCATGGCTACAACAGCGACGGAGAACGAGGTAGAATCGGGGAAGGAATGTGGGCAGGGGGTAGAATCGGTCCGAGACCGGTCGGAGAACCATGGTTAATTCCGGTGACGGGTTCCATAGGCGCCGGGGAATCCACGGTGGTTAGGGGTGTTTCGGTGGCTGGGGTTATGACGGAGGGCGGCCCGGCGGTGGTGGCTGTGTCGAAACGCCGAAGGGAATAATTGGATGAGTGTGGCCGACGGTTTGGAGGTGATGGGGAGGATGTTGCGATGTCTGATGTGTCAAAAAACTTGTCCATGGCGGGTTCTGGTTCCCAGACCCGCCTATCATCATGAGTACTCTAAGTTGGAACTGTTGTGGCTTGGGTAATCCACGTACAGTTCGGGAGATAGTGGAAATGGTGTCCTATAAGAAGCCCGATTTTGTGTTTATAATGGAAACTATGGTTGAACGGGTACACGCAGAACGTCTTCATATCAAGCTTGGTTTTGAAGGTTTATTTTATGTTGACAATGTTGGTTTGAGTAGTGATTTAGCGTTGTTTTGGAGGAAAAATAATATTGCGAAACTCCTGAGTTTGTCCAAGAATCATGTGGATGTAGAAGTTCGTGTTTGTGACAAAGTATGGCGAATGACGTGCTTTTATGGTTACCCTCGGCGAAGTATGAGGAGGGAATCATGGGAGCTCCTTAGTGGCTTGAGTAGTAGATCCCCGTTGCCTTGGGTGGTGATAGGGGATTTCAATGATCTCCTTTATCAGCATGAGAAGAAAGGGGGAAATCCGCACCCGAATAGTCTCCTTCGCGGCTTTGGGGAGACTGTGGATAGTTGTGGACTTGTACAGTTGGCCATGAGAGGCCATCAGTTTACCTGGGAAAAGAGTAACGGAACTAGTAACTGGATTGAGGAAAGGCTAGATAAAGTGCTGGCAACAGCTTCCTGAGGTGATTTGAATCAGCATGCCGGCGTGGAAAATTTGCAGACTCGTACATCAGATCACTTGGCTCTCTATCTTAATGTCGATGCATCACGCATGCAAAGGGGTAGGGGCCCGAGTAGCTTTAAGTTCGAAATGGCTTGGTTGTTGAACGAAGGGTGTAGGGAAGTGGTTGAGACTGCTTGGCAGGATGGGAGGACTGGGGGGTTGCTGAATTGTCAGCAGCATTGTGGTGACAGTCTAATGCGGTGGGGTGGTGAGCATTTTCAGAAATTTGGGGACCGCATAAAGCAATTACGTAAGAAACAAGAAGCAATTCGACACAGACGGGATCCGGGTGCGGTGGCCGAATTTCATGACCTGGAAAATCGGTTAACACAACTGAAAGCCCAGGAGGATACATTCTGGAGGCAACGAGCAAAGCAGCACTGGCACCGTGGTGCTGATGCCAACACAAAGTTTTACCACAGGTATGCTTCTGCTCGTAAGAAAAAAGAATTTTATTGATAGAATAAAGGGTGCTGATGGGATATGGGTTAAAGGGGAGGGTATGTGCTCCATTGTGCAGGATTACTTTAAAGATATTTTTGCCTCTAGCAACTCTACATGCAATGATTCTTTGTTTGATAATTTTGTCCCCCGGGTATGTAACAACTCAAAATTTTATTTTATAAATCCGATATTAAGAAATTCCAAATTAAAATAGCCATTTTCACTCCATTAAAAAAAATTTGCGATCAATTGGTGTTTGAATAAATTATTTTAGTCACATTTTAAATTAATTTGAAACCAAAATCTATTTTATTCGAAATTTCTAAGATTTTCGGGTACTTCGCGTACCAAGATTTAAATCGAGAAATCAATCTGAGTGAGACCGGGAGAATTCAGAAAGACTTTAAACAAGTGATCATCAAATCAACTTTTTGAGGAAATTCATTTTCAACCCCAAAGTATTCAAAGTTAGCATTTCTAGCCCTTGGTCCATGATACAAGGCCATGTTTGATATTTTAAAGATGTAAGCCAAAAGACCTTTTTGCCCGACACCAATCATTGGTGATCTACCTAGGGTTTTGCCCCCATATAAATAGAACCATTTCACCTTGCCTTCATCTGATCCATCTCTTTGCCTCTCCTCTCCCTAAGCTTTCTGTAAACAAAGAAGAAGCAAAGCAGTAAGTTTCTAACTTTCATTCTCATCCATCAATTTCCATTATTATTATTATTAGGGAAAAGGATCAAATAGGCCTTCGAACTTTAGCTTAAAAGTCAATTAGGCCCCTAAACTTTTTAAAGGTGCAATTACACCCATCAATAATTCATTTAAGTGCAATGAAGCCTAAAAACAAATTAATGACCTCCTATCACAGGTCATTAGGGTTCAGGCTACCATTTGGCGAATTTTCCGGCAAAAAAAAAAAAAAAGTGACTGGCAAAATTTTCGACAAAAGAAGTGACCGGCGAAATTTTCGGCAAATCTGGGTCGGTTGCTGGTCACTTTTTTTTTTTTTGTCTGAAAATTCGCCGGAAGGTGGCATGAACCTTAATGACCTGTGATAGCAGGTCATTAACTTGTTTTTGGGCTTCATTGAACCTAAATGAATTGTTGATGGGTGTAATTGAACCATTAAAAAATTTAGGGGCCTAATTGACTTTTAAGCTAAAGTTCGAGGGCCTATTTGACCCTTTTCCCTTATTATTATTATTATTGTTGTTGTTGTTGTTGTTGTTATTATATTTGCAACAATATTGCTCCTTCATTATGAGATGTTAGACCATGATTATGTTAATAGTTTTATTTCAAAATGTTAATTTTTTTTAGTGACAAAATGTTAAATTTTAATATGTAAACAAATTAATTTAAATTTTATAAAAATGTCCTTTTTAATCTTTTTATATTTATGGTATATTATTCCACTTAATTTTTTCCATTAGTTGCAAATTGGCAATCCAAATAAGCAATAAAAAGAAAGCATAAATGGTATATTATTCCACATCATTTTTCCATATTACTTTGTCAGTGGGTTCTTTGCATGGATGTGGTCAGCCTTACCATTTCCTACACAATATTTAATGACTTTGACTTTAAGTTGGTTTTGCATGACTTTTATCAATCATATATGAGTTAATGTATATGAGTCCTCCGAGTATAGTGATTTTGTCACTTTTAATTCTAAATTTTTAAATTGATCATTTGTGATCTTTCGACTTTCGACTTTCGAATTATTATCATTTGTGGTCTAAATTTATCAGCAATAGTTCTTTAAGTTTTAAAATTTAACCAATTGTAGTCTTCTAAAAGGACCATGGGTAATTAAAATTTGTTCCGGCGTATTATTTAAAATTTGTTTAAATTTTAATCATTAGAACAACTTCAGTCGTGTAAGATATTTAGTGATTTTTCACGGCTAAATATGAGAGGGAAAGAGATAAGAGAAAAGAATCTGACAAAAAATTTTTTAAAAAATTATATTTATCCACCCAATTAACGCATGCAGTGCCCGCTAGCTTTTTTTTTTCCCCATAAATACTGTTGTAATATTGTTTGTGCCCGTTGGCCTTTAGCTCTTAACCGGTGATTGCAGGATTGGATTACAATGTAAAGATAAAAGTGAAGTGAATGTAGAACAATAGACAAGGAGAACCAAGACAAGGAATTCTTATTCAACCATCTGTGTATCTTCCATACAACCATAAC